GCTATAAGGATGCCTCACACACACACACTCACACACTCAATCAGGTACCATTTATAGGCTGGTTGGCACAAGCCATCAATCTTGAGCTACTTTATCTTCATCTGACATGCAGACATACTCGATACTAGATACTCGCACTTATAGATATCTTGCCTTGGAGTCTGCTTGGGCGCCTTGGTAGGCAAATGTATTTGGATTTGCCAATGCCTTTTGTTTGGCCAACAATAACAATTGATGTCACAAACAGCAGCAGCAGCAGCAGCAGTAGAAGCCCGAAACCAACTAAACTAAGAGCACCAACAAAAACACCAAATAAAAAGCAAGAAAAACGCATTTTATGTCGCATACTTTTAGGCGTCAACACAAATTGTCGTAGATTTCGTGGGGGAGCGAAATGATATATGTATGTATCGATGTATCTAACAATGGGGAGGTGGTATTGGTATTGTGTCTGGTCTGGGCACAAAGCCGCTAAGGTAAACACTACCATTTATCTTAGATGGATAGATTGTTTGAACTGCGCTTCAAAGAGTTTTTGGAGAACTCGGTATTGATTGATTAAAGCATGTTTCTTGATATTATTTTCCAAATAACATATCCCAATTGATATTATTTCATTTAAAAAGTAAGTGATAGTTGATATTTATTTGATATCTCTTGGATATATTTAGAAATTTGAACTCTTGCCTGAAAACTTAAATGTTTTTGGTCTAATATATTTTCTGAAACATTTATTTGAAGCCACAAACAGAGCAGACTATTAAACTTGAGAATTATATTGCTTCCCCTGCTCTCTTGAGTTATTTTGCGATTTTCTTCAGAAAATATATGAAATATTTGATATGGCATACGCAACTTGAGTCGCAGTAATAATTTTCATCATCGTGGGTTATTTATGTGGCATATGCGAATATGTCGGCTCAGAAATGTTTACAACTGATTTTGACAGGCACTTTATCGCTGGCAGAACTGTCTTGAAGACTCTTTAACACTGCTGGCTTGATGACTATTCAACAGCTCACCCCACCCACTGCTTGTGGCAGCAACCCTTTTTCTTGGTTCTTGTTCAGAACTGCAACACGTATTTTGAGTGCAACGCTTTTGGTCTCTGGACATTTCGCATAGCTACGCCTACGAAGAAACGTGCAAGAGTTCAAGAAATGGTTTTTTTCTTTCATTTATATGGGATCTCGGCAACCACAGAAGTTTGAACCCTTTGAGGCCACTACCCAATGGCAAAAGCCATTGACACTGGCAGCAACACGCGCTGTTGTGCGAAAATATGCAATTGAAATGTTAAATAAATAAAGGCGTAAATACTTGAAGGGCACAGCGCAGCACAGCGACAAGGCGTAACATTCAAATGCTGTTGTGTTGCACGTTATGGTTTAATACACACACCCATACAACAAATACATATATATTAAAAAAATACGCCAAGAAATAACAGCCATCCTTGGTTGTTGAACTTCAAATACCCTAACTCTAACTATGTAAAATTGAATGAAAGCAAGGATTAAGAGAAAAATTATTTAAAATAATTTATAAATTAAAAAAGAGTAATTAAAATGATTATTATAAATAAACTTATCTTTAAAACTTTGTAGTAGCTTTATTGTTATCTAATAGAGGGATAAGAAATCTTACTTATTAGTAAGGATCAAAGCTGAGGTATCTCTAGAATAAATTGATCTAATGCGACTGATTTTGACACATGTTCGTCACTAAAGGATCCTTATCAAGTTTCATGAACATACCTTTACAGGTTAAGCTGAAGCACGACCAAGTTTAGGTCACCTCAGTTTGGCTAACCGCTCAACTATATACTTTATGGCGTCTGCCACACACTTTGCGACAAACTTATAATACTTAGGGTACACAGAAGGCGTTACAAGAAAAAGAAAAGAAGCAAGCGACCCGTTATGCATTCCATAACTTTGGAGTCCGTCGTCCGTCGCCCATCGTCAGACGACGTTGACGCTGAAGTTGAAATGAATGAATGAAAATATGCAGGCAACGTGATTCTCAGCGAGTCAGTGACGAGACTGCGACTTCGACGCCATATTGCTTTGGGTTTGGGTGGGAGGAGTGTGTTCCGGGCGTGGAAACGTAACCGTTAGCAATGACATTGCCGAGCAGAATTACGGTTGTCGTTACCTCTTTCAGTGGGTGGTGTGGTTGGCCGGGGGATGGCAATATTCGCATTTGCTCGTTGGTATTTTCTGTCGAGTTCAGCGCAAATTCATTCATTTCCACTTGAATTTACAATTATGCGAAACTGTTGTTGAATGGATTTTGACTTGCTCGGAGATTTCTGAATTGGGTTTTGGGGATTGGGATTGGGTGTGTTCGCTGTTCGTAGTTGTTGTTGTTGCATATTTGTTGGCTGTACTTTCGACATTGGCAGCAAACAACTTAACTGTTTAGCTTTTAATTAACTGCCAGGCAATGCAAACTGTATGCTGAATCCAGGAGATCCACAAGATCCCCCAGCTTGTTGCTACGACCAGTGCCAATTGTCAACAGCAGCTGCTAAAAGTTTGTCGCCAAGCGTTGCCTAGTTGCGTTGCCACATATGAAATCCTGTATGATGCGATTTGTTTACCGAATGCTTGTGAAATGTAATTAACTTTATGAGGTGTGCATGCAAAAGCTGTCAGGAGCGATTAAATATTATTTACATTGGGGCCATTGGGAGAAGTTAGTCATGAGCTAGAGTCATGTCATACAATACTCTCTATAAGTATACTCTGTGATGTATACTATATACTAAAAGACTTCAAGTTCATCTAAGGAATTATGATCGAAAGCCTATCTTTATACATATATATCTATATATATATATATATATATGTTGAATAAATATTCCAATAGGAATCCCCGCCTACTAATCATATCAATTGTACTTTTCTGCCGATAGTAAGAAAGTTTTTGTACAAGAAACTTCTCGAATGCCACTTCTTGAGGGTGGCAAACTTTTCTATTTGGATTTTTCTCCATTTTTTTCGGTTGCCTAACTGCAGGGGCACTTCAGCTACTAGTTGCCAAACGCAATTCAATGTCATATCCTTGAAAGCTAAAAAAATGGCAACGCACACGGATATGAAAGAAAAAAATCGGCAACTGAAAGTTTTGTTATTGAAAGTTCATCGATGAATGCGAAACAGTTTGCAGAAAACAGAAATCCACTGTCAGGACACTTGGCTGACTGCAGTCGGAGAGACCGACTGGCTGCTGGCTGCTGGCTTCAGGCTGCTTACAGCCCATTTCCTGTTAGCCATTTTCAACATTTTCAATTTCTTTTGTGTATGCAATGCCACATTGTAAGCAGTTGTCCTGCGAGTTCTCGGCGAGCCTGCAAGCCTGCAGCTCAGCCCAGCAACACTAATTTCCTCGACCAACTCCAGACGTCGTCAGCGCGCATATCCTGCCTGTCAGCTCGACTGTCTCCTTAACCCAGCATTGCGTTTTGGGGTGGGTGGAGGGGGTCTGCACCCCGTTGTTTGCATTTTTATTTGTATTTCATTTTCAATTGACTGGCAGCCGAGTTGCCTGCCACATCGCCTACCTTGGGGGCCTTTACCTGGTCTAAAGTTCAGGTATGCGCTTTGTGTACTTCAGTCCATTCATCAGAGTTATTTACTTTTTAACGAGTTGATTTCATTCAATTTGTTTACCTAGGTTTCAGTGGCCATTACGGACAAACAGCAAAAACAGTGAAAAAGGGTTGCCACCGCATTGCATTGCTCCTGAATAATATTCGTATTCAGCCATGCTGGCCACACTCTTCTCATACTTTAAGCTGCTGCAATCTTACACTTGTATACTTTGCCCTATTAAAGCTCTTTAATATCGGACCGGCAACAAACATTCAACTTCTGTGTTATTTTTTGTGTTTACTTTTCCTTAGCCCTTTTATACCCTGTAAATAGAAATGGTGTGCTTGAAGGTAGCCTACTGATAACAAATTTGGTTTTAATAGAAAAATATTGCGAAAAGCTCAAAATACACTGATAAAGAATCATCTTTTAAAGTCAAGCAATCTAAGCATCTTTTATAATTAGTAAATTAGCTAAGTTAAATAATTTCTTGACGTTTTTCTCTCTTTCTAACTCTTTCCCAGCACATTCACAGCAATCGCATAAAAAATCAATTCAAGGCAACTTACAGGGTATCAATCAGTTCAAAGCTCATTTTAAGATCCATCTTGTTTATTTTGCTTCCGACTTGCTTGTTCTGGAGCGTCTGGCAAGTCAAGTTTTTGTGCCTTTTGGCGTTTTTTCGGTTTCAATAAATATTTTCGCAATGCACAAATTAAAAATTCTTCAAAATAATAATAGAACACGACAGAAGAAATTGGTGTTTTCAGGCCGCAAGCTGCCAAAAAGCCAGCTATTGTCTATTTAGCTAAAAACTTTTGTATGCCTTTAGCCAGACCGATAAGAACAACAACAACGACAACAACAACAAGAACAACAACAGAAAGAACATCAATAATAATATAGAAGTGTCCCGACCCTAGCAATTCGATTGAAATTGTTGCCAGTGGCTATGTTTTTATGAGCATTTCGTTTGCCTTGTGCGGAAGCGTTCGACGCTCAAATATAATTAAATTGTTCACATTTTACGGAACCTTCGAAAATATGTCCAAAAATTAACCAAGAAAATACACTCTGGCGCCATCTGTTAGTTGTTTGCCAAATTAATTTGGGAAGCTGATGTTCCTTGATAAAAATGTCAAGAACTATATTTTCCTTGGTAAGAAGCAAAGCAAAATAACAGAAAAAAAAGAAAAAGAACAAAACTTTATTAGAAAAGACATTTTGTGCTGCTAGCGCCATCTGTTGAGCATTTGCATTTTGTTCTTGTTGAAAACTTATAATTATATTGTATAGATTTGTCTATCTTAGAAACAGTTTTTCCTAATTGAAGCAAATATTGCAGCAAACTGAAAGAAAACCGAGAGTTCGATTCCCAAACTTGGGTAATTTCAATAGCAGTTTGCATTACTAAATACATTTATTTTGCTGTATTTAATTGAGAGCCAATGTATCTGTTTGTGTGCATTTTTGTGACTAAAATCTGTGCTCAACTGGCAGCCCCGAATCACTTTAACAACTACAACTCACTGGCGAATTGTATGGCAAGTTTCTCCATGCAGATTAGGGTCTGGAAGGCCCTATCGCAAATATCGGAACCATTAATATTGTTACAGACAGCCACAGCGCTTTCTATGTTTTCCTTGGGGGCATCGAAAAAATGCCTCGCTATGTTATCCATAAGCAGTTCACCGCTGTTATTCATGAAACCGTCCTTGATCAGCGCACATCTGGCAGCACACTTCACATTCTGATTGGCATATAAGGGGCTCAATTTGCCCATCATCACATTATGGATATCCTGTTCAGTGAGAGCATTATCGGTTATGCAAGACTCGCTGACATAGTTGTCATAGGCATCCTGTGCGATAAATCCCAAATAATTGAGTACTAAAATTTGATCACTTATGAACTTTACTTACCACCAGGAATCCAATTAGACAGCTTGCGAACAACACCAAGGCGAATGTGGACTTCATCTTAGCGGTAGTTTTGTGTAAACTAATTGATTCTCTAAAGTTCAATTGCACTTTTATAGTCGATCTGCAATTTGTAACAACATTTGTCATACTTTGCAGGTTCCACAGATTATCTATAGTTTGTTCCGCTCGATGCATATTTGAGTACAGTGAAGCGACTTGCGAAATGACTCCAGATAACAAAAAGTGATGCCACAACGTAAGAGAAAAAATGATGATTTATCAAAGGTATTCATTGTTCATTTTAGTTTCGAATTCTATTTCTATTTTTGTCATTTGTGTAGGAGATTTGGACAGTTGCATATGCTTTAAGCAATTATTTGCAAGTTTGCAGTTTCGTAATGACAATAAGGCTTCGATATAAAGAACCAAAAGTGGTAAGATAATATTTTTGCAGTATTTTTAAATTAAAGTTCAAACAGTAATAAATTCACAGCATGGATTAACGTTTACTGTAATTAATTTATAATTATTTCTCTGATTGATCAAATTAGATATAATTTCTATTCTATTTTATCGAAAATGCATTTTAAATAAGGCTTACAATTTGTACGTTTTTTTTTGTTTTTTCCACTTAATAACTAATTTTTTTTTGTAAGCTATTTATTAACATGCATTTACATATATTAATTAAAAACGTTTTATTGTTATTGTTTATTGCATTGCAATTATCGCTATTATTTCTCTCCCTTTTTTTTCTTCATTATTTGCGCATTATTGCATAGTTTTTATGTTAATTGCATTTGCCTGGCTTTGTGTTAATTGGTATTGTTTTGTTTATGTTTTTGCTTTTTTTTTTTAATAATCATTTAGTTAGCTATTATTTGTATTATTAATATTATTATATGGAATTGGCCTCACACATTTTCATTAGGTAAAACATGATTTCAAACGCTAATTGAAATCCTTTTAGAGTAATTAGGAAAATTTTAATGCACAATTCCGCAAGAGATGAAAACTTTGATGCCAGCTGCTTGCGCTGCTTTGTGGTGTAGTTAGAAAAACAAACTAATTTAGTAAATTACTATTTAGCAGCACCACACCCTCCGCCCCCCTTTTATATGACCAACAAGGACGCACGACGATGGCCACCTGGCCGCAGCTTTGGCCACACACAAAGGTCATTTTCCGGCTTTGAAGTTGCGCTTTCAAATGCGCCAAAGGACATTTAACAAATGGCAAATGCTATTCGGCATCCGTGTGTATGTGTGAGTCTAAATGTGTGTGTGTTTGTATGTTGTAATGGGCGTTGTATACACGCACATACAAAAGCATTTGGCAATCGCCGTTGAAACATCAAAGTGATGCGAGTTTTCCAGTTGACTTCATCAGTAGATTGTGTGAAGTATGCCAAAAATGTTTTGTAGACGGTCCAGCATTAAAATTCTTTTCGATATCCTGTACACACACAAAATCGGCATATAAGTTTACGATAGAGTTTTGATTCAGATAAAAGTGGATTCTAAATAGTTGAAATTGTTATTTCATTTTTACATTTTAAAATATTACCTAAACTCAGCAGTGTTTTATGAACTCGAACACTCTCAACTAGTGCAGTTCTCTATATATATTTTTACTTTAGTAACATCTCAGCAATGGAACTTAAAGTAATGCCATAAAATCGAATGCTTAACAAGCTCTTTAGCTTGTGGCACGTGCTACAACGTTGCTGTGGAACTGAAACGCGATTTCGATTTTTACTTTTGCGCGCGAATAAAATGTATTGAAGAGTAAAACAATATTGGCCAAGCTTTTAAAATACATTTTACATGCACTTCAGTTTAATTGGCGCGTGGCATACAAGTATATATATATACATATATCGAAAGGTTGGCGAAATTTGAGATAACGAAGCTTTCCGCGTGCGCCATTCAATTAGTTTGACACCCTCAAGGTATTCAAATTGGATATGGGCTGGGCGGACCAAGGGGGTATTATCAACAATTGCTGCTCAGCTTACAGCAAAAAGGGGGCTCGGGATACTTGAAAAGATACAGTATCAAGTCAATGAAATGAAACTAGAGCTGCACTCACAAGGGATGGTCAAAAATTGTGAGCACTCAAATTTGGGTGGAGAGTATGAAAATGGATATGCAAAAACAATATAATTACCAATTTAACTACACAAAAATTGCGTGTACGCAGTTAAAAGATACTTTTAATTAGTCAACTAAACATGATATTTGTGGCTTACTTAAATATTATTAGTATTACTAGTAGTAAATGGAAGTCTAAGTCTACTACAAGTGTATTAAAAATAGTAATAGAAGTGCAAATATTACGCACTTCAATCGTAGAAAAAGAATATTAAACGAATAATTCTGAGCACCTCTCCTACTAGTATTTTTATTTCTACAACTAACTATTTATATTGTGGTAGTTTTAATTTGTTGACTACTTTTTACTCCGCTGTTTAATGCATATGAAATAAAAGCCCACATTCATTTCGTAGTTAAGAATATGTATAAATAATGTGAATGGCACACAAAACATATTAAGGACCCCACTGACCTATTTTAATTTATATTTTTATGCGAATATAAAGTGAATTTATTTCTATATCTTTTATGTCACATGCCATATAAAAGAAACTTTGCTGGGAAAATTAAGTTGTGTGTGTTGCCTCAAAGCCTGTTCTTGCTCTTGTTAAGCTAAAGAAATTTGCACAATTTACAATGCTTACCTAGCAAAGCATCCGCAAATCGTCTCCCCTCTTGCCATTCCACACCCTGAAAAGCCTGGCACATATTACGAGCGGCAAAAAAGAACATAAATACAAAATGCAGCCAGGCATAAGAAGCTACCACAGACCATTGACAACTACGTGAATACCTCTGCCAGCAAACAGCTCCCTGCTCCCTGCTCCCTGCCCTGTCCCCGCAATCACCCTGAAGGTCCTTTAAAATGGCAAACTAGACCGGGCAATGGCTCCACACAGTGGGCTGTGTAATATGTCCTAGGGCTTAGTTCGCATGTGTTGTGTTGTTAGTCCTGATGTTATTTTTGCTGCTGCTGATGCTGCTGCTGTTGTTGTTGATGTTGGTGTTGGTGTTGCAGGATGCCTCGTTGAGGCTATTGTCTAACTGAGGGCTTTACAACTCATAAACAGCAGCCCCCAGCCTCCGTCTTCGTCTAGTAATAACAGTTTAAGCTCGAGGCACTGCCCGAAAATTGTCCACATCTCGTTGTTTAATTTTTTTTTGTATTTTCTTACCCTGCCTCAGTTTTTTCCCCCATACTCTTAGCGAAAGGTATTTGTCATATTGTCATTGAACTTGTAAATCATATATATTATGGAGATTGAAAGTTGATCTATTTTTCTATATTTTTATATATTTTTTCTGTATTTGATTTCTATATTTTGAATACTCCTCAACTGTTGATAGCTTGACTTTATTTTTTTATATATTCGTTAGTGTATACAATCTTCTGCCAACTTTAGTCAGCCTTTCTACTTGCCTTTTCTACTTATTTTTGATAACAAGCATTTTACATGTGCTAAAAAAAAGCAACCCACAACAGCAACAGCAGCAGCCCCATCCCTTTACTGGTAATTTCAAGAAAAAGAAACCCGCGGCATCCCCCAATTTTCGTATTTATTTTGTTCCTTGTGTTTTTTGTTGTTGTTTTGGTCTGACTGCATGTGCGTTTATGACTTCATAATGAAAGCTAGACAGGAGCCAGGACGATGACTTTGGGGAGGCATAAGTCGCACCAGACCAGACCTCAGACCCCCTCAACCAAAACACCCTCCAGCTGCATTGCATTGTTGCTGGCTGGCTGCTGTTGTTGTTGCCATGGATTTACGTAGGCGTTGCGTTAACATGCGACTAAGTCCTTTTATATCCTGCAGCATTCGCTTTGGCTTTAGCAGTCTCGGCGCACATACATATCTTTAGTCTTGGACTATCATCAATTGATGTCCCCATGGTGTAGTTAGGCTGCCCCGCTGAACACCCTCGCCCCTCCTCCGCCCGCCCTATTCGCTTCATGCTTATAATACATACATATATAGGCCAAGAAGCAACAGAATTTAATGCCGACCCTCTGGGAGCTATTGTGGCCGTGCAACCGGCAACTTCGCCGCGGCCCCAATGCTCCATGCAACTTTTATGCTCATATGTGTGTGTGCGGGTGTGCGTGTGTGCGGGTGTGCGGGGGAGGTGTAGCGGTTTGGTGGGGGTGGTTGGTCTGTGCTATTTTATAAACAATTTTAAACTGCTGTCCAAAATGGTTTTGGTCCTTTGTAGGCAAATTGTTTTATATGCGACGGATCTTGTGCACTTTATTGACTGTGGATGGCCTGGTTCTCCCAGGCGAGAGAGAGAGAGACAGAGAGAGAGAGACAGAGGGAGAGGGGGAAGAGAGAGTGGGGATTGTCTGCCCCGAGCCGCATTACTTTGCATAATCTGAGCGTAACTGAAACTATGTGGCTCCATAATGCGCCACATTAACTTTGCAGCGCACAGAGAAAAATATGCGAATACATATCTATATATATATATATTCTATAAATCACGGCAGAAATAAATAAAACAAAACACCAGATAATGCGCAAAAAATTGGAAATAAGCGCAAAATAATAAACCAACTTCCAAGTCTGACAAAAAAAAGCGACCATAATAATAAAAACAACAAACGAAATATATAAGAAGCAAACAAACAGTTGAAGTCGCTAGTTGGAAGAAGCTGCGCCATGTGGCAATGTGTTTGTGGCACACATGCTGCAACCGCACACAGTAGCACGGGCAGCCAGTCAACCCATCCACCCATCCAACCATCCACCTGTCCAAGCATTCAACTCTGTGCCCCCTTTGCCACCTTGCCACCTTGCCACCTAGAGAGTGAAGCGTCTCTGAAAAGACCGCATGATTTCATCTTTCGCTTTCGTGCAGACAACTTAAGCGAAAAATTCCGTGGCTTGGGTGTGCCGATGTAGAATACCCTTTATAAAAGTACTTTACTATCTCAAAAATTGGTTATAGGAGAAAAGTAGAAAGTACAACAAGAAGTACTATAG